TTCCTGTGGTATGCATTTTTTTGGGGTTTGTAATGCTCGCGTTTTCAGGCTAGGCATTATCATTGATGTAATAGTCTAGGTTAACCCTTGTAACTCTTTTTGGAGTACTAATGATGAAATATTTGAGTATTATGTGAATTATGTGTTTATTTTCTTAATTATTATAATTTAATGAATTAAGAATAAAACAAGCGTCAAAATTAAAATATGAAATAAGCCCGATATCTTTGCATAAAGATGAAGTGGTTGAAACAAGGATTCCGAAGATATAAAGAATGTCGAAATCTGAGTTATGACATGTCGAAGTTTCGCGACAGAACCGCCAACGCTGAATGACGTAAAAAGTGAAATTTACGTTAGAGCGATATTTAGCCTTAGTGATCTAAACAAAAGTCGTAGAGTCCGTTAAACCGAGAGCGTGCATAAAAAAGAACGCCCAAATCTGACTTCGTATGAGGAAGTTATGATTTTTCGAAGTTTCGACTTAGTAGTATGCAGCCCGAATACTCGATTTGAGATCAAGCGGTTTTTAGCCGAAACAATCTAAATGAGAATCAAAGGTCTCATTAATAGTAGTAAAACGATAAAAAGATAGGCGAAAACAGACGTTGGATGAAGAAGTTATGATTTTATAACGGAGTTTTCCTGTCCCAACCTACTAAAAATAAATAATAAAAATAAAGTCAAAAATAACCGACGGAGTCTAAACGAAATTTGTAGATCGTAGTCTCACCTACGCGTGGATATAAAGAACGTCGAAAACGGAGTTCGTATGAAGAAGATATAAATTTTTGAAGTTTATTAAATATAGTCGATATTTAATTTAAATATAAATTATCCGATATTATCCAAAGGGGAGGGGGAGAGTCAGCGAGCTGATCCTCATTACGCCCAGCGTAATTTCAGATTACGCCCATCGTAATTCGAAGTTCCAACCCCTATAAAAGGATGTCGAGGACAACCGAGTTGTTTGCTAATTTCTTCCATTTTTCTCGCGTTCTTGCATCGTTTTTTCGTGCAAGAATTATCCTGAAGCAAGTCCCGAAGCCCCGAAAATCCCGAGAAGTGCAATTCCCGAGCTGAAGTTCTGCCTGCGAGGAGTCCGATTTTTGTGAAGATCTTCCAGATCTACCGAAGAATACTACTTCTATAAGTCGTAGTGTTGTCCGATCATCTTCTGATCAAGTGAGTGTGTGCTTACTTTCTTCTAATGCATAATTATGAAGTATTTTATACGAAATCCGTGTTATGTGTATATTCTGTTGTTATATGCATGAATGTATATTCACTTTCTTCTATCTCATATATATGATTTATTCTCTATGAAATACGTGTTATGTGTATGTGTCTCATCTGTTGTTTAGAATATGTATTGAATGAGAATGTTATATAGGTTTTAAACTATGTATAAAAATATATATTTTTATCTACTAATATGTCGGGTATAACATGGGTAGATAGTTGTGTGATAAACAGATGAGAGGCCTCGATGTTGTTTTTGATTCAGTCATCTAGCGGAGTTTTGATGACGACCACAGACTTTTCTAGACAGTCCTGTGGAACGCTAGCAGGTTCGTCACCTGTAGGTGTTAATGAACTTGAGTGTTCATTCGCTGTACTCCATCCCCCTCATGGTTGCCTTATTTGACATATATTGCCGGGAAACCCCCGAATGCATGTGTTGTCGCCCCGATGAAATATTCTAAGACTAGGTCCCTTGTGTTAGTTGTTTTAGGGACGTAAAGTGAGAATAACGGGAATGGGTAATTTGGTTATTGTTGGTTGGTGGAATTAAATATAATTATTTATTGTGGGTTGAAAACCCTATATGCTCACCAGGCTCCCAAGCCCGACCCACTCGGTTTTATTTGTATTACAGGAAGTGGCGCAAGGGCATAAGATGGATGAATCATCAAGTTGCTTTGTTTACAAGTCTGTATATGTATATATTTGTTGAATGACTTGTAATGTTATCGTTTATGCTTTATGGTCTGTATCGGAACATGACATCCCGAGTTTTGATTATATAAAGAAAATACATTTCTTTTATGAAATGCTTTGGTAAATATTATTTTATCACGTTTTGTTTATGGGAACAACTTCCGCAACTCTTTCAAATCAAAAGGATTTACTCTGAAATTATTTTAAAAACATAAATGAAAAATCGGTCTTTTCTGGCCTAGATTTTGGGGATGTCACAGTTGGTATCAGAGCCAGGGCACAGGTTGATGTGTTCGACGGGGACGTCGAACCCTATAATGGGGGGTGAAAGTGGGTTAGATCTGATCCCACATCGGCTGGGAAGGAGAACTAAGCATTCCTTATAAAGGGTGTGGATACCTTCCCTATCACAACGCGTTTTAAAGCCGCAAGGGCAGCAGATCCCATAAGAACTATGCAGTTAAGCGTGCTCGGGCGGGAGTAGTACTAGGATGAATGACCCTGTGGGAAGTCCTCGTGTCGAGTGGCTCAAAGCGGACAATATTGTGATACGTGCCAGAGGGGGATGTCACAGGGTTTTAGTCCAAACCACAAATTTTTTGGATTGGTGGTCATTTTGAGGTAGTTTTTTTAACTGAAATGATTGTAATACCATTCTGGTATTTTTTTTAATGTTTTTTTTCTATCTAATTTAAATGTAAAAGAAAATAAATAATTAAATTGGACCCACATGTTCTCTCTCCATCTCTGTCTCTGTCTTTGTCTCTGTCTCTGTCTCTGTCTCTCTCTCTCTCTCTCTCTCTCTCTCTTTCTCTCTTTCTTTCTCTCTCTCTTCTCTCACCATCCTCTCTCTACCTATAGACAAACACACATACACACATGATCCCCAACCGAACCATTCACCTTCATCGCTCATTGCTTCACCACACACCTTCATATTCATCTTTGAGTTACCTTCGCCTTATCGCAAGTCTATATTATTGCCTGAAGTCAACTATCCACATGAAAAGGAAACGATAACCTTAAATTAACCCCATATAATCATCCATCGATTGACTGTTGACGAACCAACCCTCTCACCATTGGCATTTTTGGTTCCCACATCATTTGATAACTCCATGGCTTTTGATGTCCGGTGGCCCCATCTGAAAGCTTCATCGCTTTCCCGTCATTGCTCGTCGGATATCAGAGCGTCACCTTAAAGCTTCATCACGTTTGTTTTGTCTGGTGGCTTTGTGAATATGATGGCTAGTGGTATCAGCGGTAGAGGGTTTATGGAGGTTTAAGTTATAGTTTTCGACTTTTTGAAGCAACGATCTATGGTTTCTTACAATTTTGCATCTGATAATTTTGGAGGTTTAAGTTTTAGTGTAGTTAATAGACTTGTGATTGGTTTAATGAATGGGATGGTGTTTTTGCTCATTATTGATTAATTGGTATTCACATGAAAGCTTCAATCATTTCCCTTAAAGATTCAACAAGTATTAGGTGGTGACGAGGTGTTGGCTGATGGTAGCAGATTGAGATGATGATGGAAGGAGATGTCCTGATGGTGATGACGAGAGAGGTTGAATCAGGAAGTAAAGATGCTATTTTTTTATAGGGCAGGATTTTGAACGCCGATCTAGTATCATTTTTGGTGATGAAGATGATTTTCAACAAAGACTAAGAAGGATGAGAGATTGAAGGTAGGTGATGAATTATTCTAAACCAATGAACTCTCTCTATTTCCTTTTCAATCCCTGTCATTGTGTATTTACATTTTATGTGTTGTGTTTGTGTGTATTTGGATTTGTGTGTGCGCGCATCTGGATCTATATTTGTGTTAGAGTGGATGCACAAGAAAGATAAATAACTCCATCGATTTTAGTTGAAGGTGTGTGAGAGAGAGAAAGGTGCATCCCGATTTTTTTTAATTATTAAAATAACTATTACATTTAAAAATTGAAAGAAAAATAAAAAATAAATACCCAAGGGTATTACAGTCATTTCACTATTCAGGGGGACTAAAGACACAACGAAACTAGTTCAAAAGTACCTTGAAACTAAAAAATTGAGGTTTGATTAACCTGGCAATGAGGCGGGTTTGGAGCGAATCGACCTTGATCCGAACCCTTTTAACAAATTTCAAAATCCGATTCAAAACCGCTCCGTAACCCGCAGGGTTTTGAATAATCAAATCCATACCTTTATCCACCGAATCAACGAATATCCAAACCCGCTCCGTAACCCATAGGCTTTTTGAATTATCAAACACATTTTACTTAATTCATAAAATAATATTTCTTAAATAAAACAAATTCTGATTTAGAAAACACATTACGTACTCGAGGACTTCTGATTGGAAATAAAAATCACTATTGTAGTAACTTCTAATTTATTTTTTACTGTCAGTTGTAGTGATAGATAATAACAATGACACACTTTCTTTCAAATGATGAATGAATTTATTGATTTATGAATAAAATATGATGATTGCTTGATGAAATATAAATGAAATGACATTATAATTCTTAGTAGAAGACTGTAAGTCTAGAAGTCGACTCATCGATTCTTACTTATATACAGTTTGGATTTTGGCATTTTCCCCTGGACTTTTGACTAGATTTAAAAATAAACTTTAAGAAATATAAAATATAAACCAATAATTCAAAATTTATACAGGGCGGGTTATATACGGAGCGGATCAGTGATGATCCATACCCAACCATTTTAATAAAAAGGTTAGCGGGTATGAGCCATTAATAGGTAAACGAATAAAAAATTATGCTCCAAACCCATGTAATTCTTAAGGGTTTGGATCGGATGAGAATCAAAACCCATTACCATGCATAGGTTTGAACTAAAACCCATAAAAATACATACAAACATAATTTTTACAATTTTATTAAAGTTTTTTAAATACCAGGATCATTTTACGGTTTTATTTTTATGAAATTAATTCCTTTCCTAAAATAAAAAGCAGCAGAGTACGATCTTGCCCTCGCTAAACGTTACCATACGCTTCATCAGGTAAACCTATACATCGTGTTCATCATATTCTCGTTCAGCCGTGCACTGCGTCTTCTCCACTTTGTCATAGGGGTCGTCCGACGAGTAGGTGATTCCCTCCCCCCTCTCTCTAATCACATCTTGTGAAGTCGACCCCAAACAGGGTTACTGTGACATCGCTGGGTTTTCTTTTTCTTCCATCGCTACTGTGACACCGCTGATATGAGAATCTGAAAAAACCCCTTTCTTTCTCTTCAATCGCTGCTAATAACATTTTTCTGAAATCGCTGTTATTAATCTTGCTCTGAAATCGTTTACATCAGAGGAATGTGAAAAAAAACATGTTGTGGTTTCTTGCTAAATCGATAGAACAGAAAACATACTGTGGTTATTTGCCTAATCTTCTGCACACAGTTCAATTTGATTTTAGATGCATTTTATTTCGTTTTGAGTTAATTGTTGTCTTTGACCTTTACATAGTAAGCATTTGCGTTGTTATGTATGTTATCATATTGATTTGGTTATATCATTTGCTCTAGATTTATATCTTATAACCTATAATTCTTGGTTATCATAGTAATAAAAACTTAGTTTACCTCTGTTTTTTTGTGAATTTGTTTGGTTAATATATCTTTTTTGTTGATTCATGAATCGCGTTAGACAGAATAAACGCTAAAACCCTAATCTAGTCCTAAACTATACACAGCCTGTTATCGTGATCTGTTTGTAACCTGCCAGTGCCACCACAAACCTTAAGTTTGTTCTGATTTTAGCCGTTCAATGTAATATTGCAAGTTACAATTTTCATTCAGTGAAAACCAAATTTTTTCTGGGGGTTTCTTCAATCCATGCACAATAACAAGGGATATTGTCAACACTGTATGCACCCCCAGAGCATCTGATGGCTGGTTACCCTCCTGGGGCTGTCAACAGCTTTTCTTATGAACCCTAGTTTTGCAGTTGTGTTATTATAGCAACCCATAAGTCTGTTCCCGTTACTGACTGGATATTTTGCATGACTTGAAAACCTGGCAATCTTCTCTTGTTAAAACTTGTATGTATCTACTTTCTACCATGTACTCTTTCACTGAGGTGTGTGCGTGTGTATTCTTTTTGTAGGTATTAAATACAGTGTTGTCTCATTGTGTGTGGGAGAAGCTTAGAACATGGTCTCATCAGATGATGAGGAAGAGACAGTTGCAGATACTATCTCAGAATACTATTTCTGTGACGGGGATGACGAACCCCTTTCATTTTCAGTGTTACCTCTGCAATGGAGTGAGAGTGAGAGTGAGAGTTCAAGCCCTACTACAGGAATCTTTTTGAGGGGCACTGCAGATAATGGTCTTCAAAAGCTATACAAAGCAGTTAAGGCATGGAAGTATGATTTATCAAAATCTAATCCTGAGATTTCAGTGCTTTCCAAAGATAACCACTGGATCAAGCTTCAAAAGCCTAGAAAGAGTTTTGAAAATGAGATCAAGACAATTCTGATTACTGTGCATTGCCTATCCTACTTGAAAAGAAAACCAGAAGCATCAGCGAAATCTCTGTGGGACCACCTCTCTAAAGTTTTCAGGTATCAGCATTTGTTGTTGTTGTTGTTGTTGTTTTTTAGTCTTTATTGGTATCAGTTTGTTAGGACCATCTCTTTTTTTCATTTTGCAGTTTGCACGATGTCAGGCCTTCAGAGAATGATTTGAGAGGTCATAAGAGCTTCATTAGAGATGCTGTAGACAGGGATGAAACATTGGCGAAATCCAAGGTTTATCTTGTTTATGTTTTGTATTCTTTCAGATCTTTTTGACGATTAACAAAATTGCTGAATCCAACAGGTTTTGGCTGCATTTTTGGAGAATCCCAGAAAGAGGAAAGTTTCTGAGGTATTGTATAATCTTGCTTTCTGGTTGTTCCTTATTGATCCATCATGCTGTCTTAATATTCTGGAAATAACTGGCTGGCTTGGCTTACAGGAGGCTGAAGCTGCTACAAAGCCGAGCTTTATAGTTGATGATGCAAATGATGATGACTTTGTCATAGAGGCCAATGAAGATAGTGAGTCGGATGAAGAGGAGGATCCTTTTGATTCAGTTTGTGCTATATGTGATAATGGTGGTAGACTTACCTGGTACTACCTGCTACTTGCATGTTTTTTTTTTTTTTTTTCTTTTTCATTTGATAGTCTTCTGATGTATTTCACCATCCACTGCAGTTGTGATGGGAAATGTTTTAGGTCATTTCATGCAACCCCAGATACTGAGGAGGCAGAAGAATCCAATTGTAAATCTCTTGGTCTAACTCCTGACCAAGTGAAGGTGTTCCAACCTTTTATATTCATAAAATATGTTTTTTCTTTCCTTTTCTCATTTTTTATTATGTTTCCTTTTGCAGAGAACACAACAATTCCTGTGTGATAATTGTTTGTATAGCCAACACCAATGCTCTGTTTGTGGTAAACTAGGGTCTTCTGATAAATCTTCTGGTGCTGCTGAGGTGAGTCAACCCATTTTTCAGCAGTTGCATTATATCAATTTAAAAACTCTTGTATGGCCTTGTTCTTCAGGTTTTTCGTTGTAGTTCTGCAACTTGTGGCCACTTTTATCACCCAAAATGTGTAGCAAAGATACTACAGCCGAATGTTGAAGCTGAACAGAAGAATCTTCTAGAAAAAATCAGTGCAGGGGAACCGTTCATATGCCCTGCCCACAAATGCGATGTCTGTAAGCAAACAGAAAATGAAAAAGTGGAAGACTTGCAGTTTGCTATTTGCAGGCGATGTCCAAAATCATACCATAGGAAATGCTTACCAAGGTAGTCTTGTTTCTGTTTCTGTGTCTGTTTCTTGTTTCATATCTTCTGATGTTTTTTGGTGGTTTTACAGGGGTATTATGTTTGAATCTCAAGTTGGTGATGACGACATAGTCCGAGCTTGGGATGATCTTTTGGGTAAATCCCGTGCATTGATATATTGCTTAAATCATGATATTGATAAGAAGCTCGGCACCCCTGCAAGAACCTTAATATTTCGAATTAATCGCCATAGCATTAGCAATATGGATCAACCATCAAAACTGCCATTGAAGAATAAGGAAACATTAGATACAGATTCAGAATACACAAGCAAGAAGCCTGTTACTGTTATCAAGTCACAGAAAGGTGGCGAAAAATCTTCAGCCACTAAAATGGAAGATTCATCTTCCAAGAAGAGAGCAGCAGTTGGGTCGGTGCCCTTGGAGAAGAAGAAGAAGAAACCAGCAGACACCTCTCTATCTCTAAGGAGGTCTTTGTCAGCAAAAATCAAGATGCCTAGCTCTAGCTCAAATGATGGTCAACCTAGCTTGGGGTGTAGATTGTTTGAATATATGAATAAAGGAACGGAATCAAACAATTTGGAGAAGGATGACATGTCAGTTGATGAGAGCAAGCAAATGTTATCTCCTATAGATGAAGAATCAAAACAGAGGTGTGTACTTCATTGTAAACATATCATATCGTATCATATATATATTTTAATTTTGTATGCATTAATTACAGAATATTGGATCTGATGAAAGATGCTGCTTCCTCTATTACACTGGAGGAGGTGAAGAGGTACCACACAGAGAAAGTACCATCAACACATGCAATGTCATCAAGAGTGGACAAATCCATCATCTTGGGCAGAGTGGAAGGTGCTGTGGAGGCTCTTCATGTAGCTTTGAAGAAGCTTGAAGAAGGATGCAGTGTTGAAGATGCAATGGCTGTCTGTGAGCCTGGTGTTCTTGACCAGTTAATGAGGTGGAAGGTACATATGTTAATCTTCAAAATCTGTTTCATCATGTTCCTTCTGTTTTCATCATCATTTTCTTTCATGCATGCAGGATAAGCTCAAAGTCTACCTTGCACCATTTCTGCATGGCATGCGTTATACATCTTTTGGTCGTCATTTTACAAAAGTGGAAAAGCTGGAGAAGGTAATTGTTTTCATTTGCTTTTTATTTATTTATTTATTTTTTAAGGGAGAGAGAGAGAGGCTAATGTAGTTTGTGTTGGCACCTCTGTGACAGATTGTTGAGAAGCTCAAATTTTATGTTGAAGATGGTGACACAGTAAGTTTGCCTTACCTGATGAGAATTGAATTTGCTTTTTATTTGTCTGTTGTGGTACGTATTATTCCTTATGCATATGCAGGTGGTTGATTTTTGCTGTGGGGCAAATGACTTCAGTTTCCTTATGAAGAAACACCTTGATGAGATGGGAAAAAACAAGTGCTCTTACAAAAATTACGATATTACCAGACCAAAGGTATGGTATGCGCTTCCCTCTGTTAATATATTTTTGGATTTGTTGATTCATCAGTATTGCTATTGTTATTTTGTTTGCAGAATGATTTCTACTTTGAGAAGAGGGATTGGATGTCTGTTCGTCCAAATGAATTGCCAAAACGCTTGAAATTGGTAAAGATCATGTTGATTCCTTCTCCCTTTAGTTTGTGTTTCTTATAATATATTCTTTGAGCAGATCATGGGACTAAACCCTCCATTTGGGAAAAATGCTGCTCTTGCAAACCAGTTTATACAACAGGCAGTTAAATTTATGCCTAAGCTTATCATTCTTATTGTTCCCCCTGAAACTGAAAGGTATATAATATATGTATGTGTAAATACTAATAGTTACAAAGACAAATAGACCTATAAGATGAGCAACATTG